CACATGAAAAGTTGTTCAGCATCCTTAACCATTAAGGAAATGCAAATTAAAACCAATGAGTTATCACTATTCACAGATTAGAACAGCTAAAATTAAAAATACAGTAATAACAACACCAAATTCTGGCAAAGAAACCTTCTTCCTCTGTCAGTCTCATCCAGGTCTGGTGTCAGTCACTCTGGAAAACAATTTGACAGTTTCCTGAAAAACTTATTATCCACTTGTCATATCAACTAGCAATCATACTCTTGGATACTCATTCCAGAGAAATGAAAATTGAGGTTTATTCAGAAACCTGTGCATGAATATCTATTAGCAGCTTTATTTGTAATAGCAAAGGTTAGAAACAACCCAGATGTCTCTAAATGGGTGAATGTTTAAACAAGCTGGTACTTCCATATCATGGAATATACCTCAGCAATAGAAAGGAATGAATTGTTGACACTCAAAACAATTTGGCTCTTAAGGGAATTATGCTGAGTAAAAAAGCCAATCCCAAAAGACCACATATTGCATGACTGTTTACATAACCTTCTCAAAATGGCACAAGACAGAGATGGAGAACAGATTACCAGCTGCCAGAGGTTAAGGACAGGTGGGTCGAGGCGGCATGAAGAGACCTTCATGGTGGAGAGACAGTTCTGTGTCTTGGTGGTGGTGGTAGCAGCAGCTGCACAAATCCACCAGGTGGTAATAGCGCCTAGAGCCACCCTCACGAGTTCTGTGGTGGCATCGAGGCGGCCTCCTGGTTAGGATATTGTGCTGTAGTGTCCCAGATGTCCCCATGGGTGAAGGGAACATGAGACCCTCTATCCTGTCTTTGCAAACTCCTGTGAATCTATAATCATTTCAAAGTAAAAGATTTTTGAAAACCATATGCTGCCTACCAGACACTCACCTGAGATCTCAGGACACTGGAAGTTGAGAGCCTTAAGACAGAAAAGGTTTTCTGTGCATCTGCTAACCCAGAGAAACTGGTATGGCTGCATTGAAGTGGACTTCAGGTGGAAATGGTTCTTCGAGGAAAAGGAGCACTGTATCATGATGGCCAGCCACTAGGACTGAATCACAGTTCTCTCAATCTTTAAGTTAAATCTTAAATCTTTATAAATTAGCAAAACAACAAAATCAAACCCAGAGTGGGTGGAAGAAAATAATAAAGAGCAGGAATTAATGAAATAGGAAATAAATGAATGAAATTGAAAATAAATGTCTAGAAAAGAAAAAAGTTGTTGTTTGTTTGTTTATCTTTTTAGACACAGTCTCACTGTGTCACCCAGGCTAGAGTGCAGTGGTGCAGTCATAGCTCACTGTAGCCTCGAACTCCTAGACTCAGGGAATCCTCCCACCTAAGCTTCCTGAGTAACTAAGAAGATAGGCATGTATCACCACACTTGGCCAATTTTTTAATTTTTTAATTTATTTGTTTTTTTGTAGAGGTAGGATCTCACTATGTTGCCCAGGCTGGTCTTGAACTCCTGGCCTCAAATGATCCTCCCTCTTTGGCTTCCCAAAGTGCTGGGATTACAGACATGAGCCACTTTTTTTTTTTTCTCTAGCTTTTCAAATTCAAGGAGTACATGTGCAGGCTTGTTACATGTATATATTGCATGATGGTGAGGTTTGGGCATCTGTTGAACCCGTCACCCAGTAGTAAACATGGTTCCCAATACATAATTTTTCATCCCTTTCCACTCTTTAGGAATCAGCAGTGTCTGTTGTTATCATCTTTATGTCCATGTGTATCCAGTGTTTCGCTCCCAAGAGGTAGTTTTTGAAGTCAATTCTTACAGAAACTCCCACTCATTACTAGTAGAAGTACAAAATAGTGCAGTGACTGGAAGAGTTAGGCTGTTTCTTACAAACTAAACGTAGACTTACTGAATGATCTCGCAGTTGCACCCCTTGACATTTCAGGAGCTGAAAACTTAAGTCCACACAACAACCTGCACATAGAGGTTTTAATAGTCTTATCCATGATGACCAACAAGTGGAAGCACGCATGGTTTCCTTTGTAGGTGAATGGAGGGACAAACTGGTACATCCAGATAATCGGATGTCATTCAGTGCTAAAGGGAACCTATCAAGCTATGAAATGACATAGAGGACACTTAAATGCATGTTACTAAGTGAAAGAAGACTATCGGGTAAGACTAATATCGCATGATTCCAACTACATGACATTCTGGAAAAGAAGACAGTAAAAAAATCAGGGGCTACCAGGGTTAAGTGGGTAGGGAAGACTGAGTAGACAGGACAGAAGACTTTTAGGGCAGGGAAACGGCTCCAGGATGCTATAATGGTGGCACGTGTGTAAACGCTTGTCCAGATGCATAGAATGCACAACTGCAAGAGTGAACCCTGATGTAAAGCATGGGCTTTGGGTTACATATGTAGGCTCATCAGTTGTGACAAACTTATGCTCTGGTGGGGGAAGTTGATGGGATGGGAAAAGGGAGTGTGTGGGAAATCTCTGTGCCTTCCTGTCACTTCTGCTCTGAACCTCAAACTGGTCTAAAAACATAAAAGTCCTTTTTTAAAGTTGATTTTTTGAAAAGATGAGTAAAATTGATAAACCTGTAACAAAATTGATCAAGAAAAGGAGAAAGCACGAATTGCCAGGATAAGACTTGAAGAGAAGGACATTATTATAGATGATAGAGACATTAAACAGATGAAAAGATTATACAAGTACACTTGAAAATGTAGGTAAAATGAACATGTTCCTTGGAAAATGCCGCACAATGAGACCGAAATATGAAGAAATAGAAGCCTGAAAGGTTCTGCGTTTACTGAAGATGTTGAATCTGTAATGAAAACTTTCCTCAACCAAACCTCAAGGCCAAAAAAGGGCTTACAAAAAAGTTGGCCTCTTCCAAATGCCTACGAAGGAAACAGCAACCGTTATACTGATTTTTTTTAGAGAATAGAAAAAGAACGAAAGCTTTCCAACTTTTTTTTTTAGTCTAGCAGAATCTTGATGCCAAAATCTAACAAGAACTAAAAGTTTAGGCCATTCTGTTTCATGAAAGTAAATTCAAAACTTTCAAACACATATTGGCAAATCAAATTCAGCAATATATAAAACAGCAATATATAAAAAAGTAAATTCAAAACTTTCAAACACATATTGGCAAATCAAATTCAGCAATATATAAAACAGGTAATAATGACGACCAAGTTGGGTTTATATTTGGAAAGCAAGGTTGGTCAGCATTTGAAAACCATTGTCATGAACTTTAGTAACAATAATGAGGAAAAATGTATAGTTATGGTAGCAGATACTGAGAAATCTCTGACTAAATTCAGTGTGTGTTGCTGAGACTCGCCTGAAGGAACAGACTCGTCACTCCCACGGCCTCCTAGGTGGAGGCTGCACACTTGCTCAGTGGTTGCTTTTCCCAAGAAGTGGTTGTGGTTTTTAGAATAATTTTTTAAAGTAGTGTTGTACAGGCTATTACCATGCCATTGCTTCCATTACCTTACTAGACTCTGGTGTGGCCATGTGCTCTTTGAGCTATTGCTGTCACCATGTTTCCTGGCTTTGGCTCCCTTCCCCACCTTGGGAGGTCTCCTCTCCTCCCTCCCTCTCTCTCTCTTTCTCTCTCTAATTTAATTTTTAAATAAACTATATATTCTAATTCTTAAAAAAAAAGAGAAAAAAAAGTAGTGCTATACAATAAAAACATTTTGATTAAACTTTAGAGTAACTCTGGGATAAACCCAGTTGCTACTACATTTCTTAAAATGGTTACCAAGCTGCTTTTATTTAATGAGTAAAGCCTTACTTATAAAAGGGGCTAAAACATCTGTCACTTTTTTCTAATTTATTTCCGTTTTATTTAAAATAGTTCTTGGTGAATTTCACAGTACAAATAAACCAGACAGTGACAGATTCAGTTTCACCTAGCTCGCTTTACACAATCACTTGAATGCTTGCTAGCTGTCAATTCACTCTGTGTGTAGACCAGGAGGTGGACTATCCCAAGCAGTTTCTTACTGACTGCCGGGACCCCTCTATGCCTATCTCCATTCAAGAGCAATAAGAATGTCGGACAGCAAGGTAGATTTGACAATGAAAAGGAATATTTCATATTGGTATGATGTTCTTAATTCATAAAAATTATCAGTCCATCAACCCAATGAGATATGTGGGCCAAATATTCTTTTTTTTTTTGAGTTGGAGTCTCACTCTGTTGCCCATGCTGGAGTGCAGTGGCATGCTCATGGCCACCCCAGTGTCAATCTCCTGGACTCCAGCGATCTTTCTGCTTCAGCCTTCCAAGTAGCTGGAACTACAGGCACATACTACCCTGCCCGGTTAAGTTTTTATTTATTGTAGAGACGAGGTCTTGCCAAATTGCCTCAAACCCACGGGCTCTGGCAGTCCACTCGCCTTGGTCTCCTCCCAAAGTGCTGGGATTACAGGCTGAGCCACCAAGTCTGACCCATTTTATTCTTAATAGTAAAGATTCATTAAGGATATTTTAATAATACTCATAATTGCAACAATTGAGTGTGATTTTTAAAACTATAGTAAAGTTAGTGTCTAAAATTATACTCTGTTGATTTCTCTCTCTGTCCCTTTGCCTTTGAAGAAAGTTTTTCAGAGAAGGATGAACCCAGATGTGAATGATCTTTGAGCATTTTCCCAGCAGACCACAGTTTTGACCATTTCTGTTCTGCAGCCCAGAGGTTCCTGCTGTGTCTGTGGAGCAGGGCTGAGCAAATGTCTGGGATGTGAGTGGATGGGCAGACAGATGGGTGGACAGAGACTCACACTCGCTGCAGAGTCTCCCCACTGTGCCTCTGAGGAGCTTATTTCTGAGACCTCCTGTGGGCAGTAGAGCCTACAAAGCTGGGCTTTGATGCGTGCAGCTATGTCATGTTGTCCAGTTCCTTAGCAGAGAAACATTGTGGTTCTGAGACTTGCGTAGGGTGCCTGTTTCTGGCGTGTGTGACTCCTGCGTTACCTTCTAGGTGTGTGTCTGTCTCCACAGCCTGACTACATCAACCCCAGAGCCGTGCAGCTGGGCTCCCTCCTCGTCCGTGGCCTCACCACTCTGGTTTTGGTCAACAGTGCATGTGGCTTCCCCTGGAAGACGAGTGATTTCATGCCCTGGAACATATTTGACGGGAAGCTTTTTCATCAGAAATACCTGCAGTCTGAAAAGGGATATGCTGTGGAGGCTCTTCTAGAACAAAATGTGAGTTCACCAACATGTTCACCAGAAACAGTCCCAGGCTTTACAGATTTACACAAATAGCAAGAAGCTTGCTGTTACATTTTTTTCAAATTATTCTTTTCCAAATAAAGGATTTTATTATTACATAAAACCAGAAACATGTGACTTGGAGCATGAGGCTTCAGTGTCAGTATAGCTAAAACAGGTTCAATACAGTAAGTCCCCTGCATACAAACCTTCAAGTTGCGAACTTTCAAAGATACAAACATGCATTCACAGGTTCAGTCACGTAAGTTAGTTTACGTGTCTGGTGTACACTGTGACATGTGTGTATCCTTTACAAGTGGTTGTGCTTTTGTATACTTTACTGTGCTATACCACTGTACTTTTCAAGGAACTGTAAGATTTAAAATGTTTTATTTTGTGTGTGTTTATTTTTTATGTAGCATTTGTATGAAAAGTATTGTAGACCTATTACAGTATAGTACTATATAACCAATTGCATTAGTTGGGTACTTAGGCTAACTTTGATGGACTTACAAACATATTCTCAGAATAGAACTCGTTCATATGTAGGGGACTTACTGTGTTCCTTATTCAAAATGCTTAGGATCAGAAGTCTTTTGGATTTTGAGTTGGGGGGAGGATTTTGGAGTGAGTATTTGTATAAACAGTTGATGCTTGAACAATGCAAGGGTTGGGGTGCCAACCCCTCATGCAGTTGAAAATATGTGTACGACTTTTGACTTCCCAAAAACTTAACTGCTAATTAACCTACTGTTGACCAGATAACATGAACAGTTGAGTAATACATATATTGTATGTTAAATCTATTATGTACTGCAATCTTACAGTAAATAAGCTAGAGAAAGAAAATGTTATGAAGAAAATCATAACGAAGAAGAACCATTTACTATTCATCAAGTGGAAGTGGATCGTCATAAAGATCTACATCCTCATCACTCCACGTTGAGTAGGCTGAAGAGGAGGAGGAAGGAGAAAGATTGGTCTTGCTGTCTTGGGGTGGCAGAGGTGGAAGAAAATTCATGTGCCAGTGGACCCAGGCAGTTCAAAGTTCTGCTGTTCAAGGGTCGGCTATACATACATAATGAGAGGTCTTGGGGGATGGAACCCAAGTTTAGACTCAAAATTTATGTGTATTCCATATACACCTTATACATATAGCCTGAAGGTAATCTTATACAATATTTAAAATAGTTTTACACAAGACATAAAGTTTGGGCTGCTACTCATTACATGAGGTCAAATATGGAATTTTCCACTTGTGACATCATGTTGTTGCTCAAAAACTTGTGGATTTGGGATTTTCAGATTAGAGATACTCAGCCTGTAGCTTCTGCTAAAAAAAAACTTAAATAGGATTTAAGACCCCAAAACTTCTTAGGTAGGACGAGTAGCATCCCACCCAATCTGACACGTTTTTAATTTTTCAAGTGCTTTTACTCCCCACACTTTTGAATGAAAAACTAATGTCCCTGTAGAAGTGGACATTAGTGGACTTCAGACTAATCTGATTGGAGTAGTTACGATTTACTACTTGAAAATACTCCCTGAAGGCTGCCAGTTTAGCTGAGGACATTGGCTGCTATTCCAGCTTTATGAATACAGTTGCTACATGATTCCTGGAAGATTTCCAAATAAGGCTTCAGGCCAAGCTCATTTGGAATGTGTTTTAATGCCCGTAGGGATGCAAAAGGCAGTGTGATCCGTGAGAGTGCACACTGGTCTGTTAGGATACAACACACCAGGCTTCCCCACCAGAGAGAGCATGCTTGGTGATGTGTTGCCATCACTGTTTGATAGCAGAAAAAAATTACAGAGTGTCATAGGACTGTAAGTGTCCAGAACTTAAAAAGCAGGCCAAATTTTATACAAAGAGCAAAGGGAGAAGAAGAGGAAAAGTGTTCTTCAGATTTGGCCTGTTACCATAGAAATGATGCATAGTCAAAGCAGCCTTACTGGACCATAGCCTGTGTATCATCAGTCATGAATCTTTTCCATTCCGTGTCTAATCTCTTAACCAAGTTCAAAGTGCTTACAGACTTATACTTTTCTGGTTTAAAATAAATTAAGGCTTACCAGGTAAGATAGTAGTAAAACAGGAAGCTAGAAGGAAAGCTTGAATACTTCATTTCTTAATCTGTTTTTTGTGACCTTGGTATTTCCAATGAATGTTCTTGTAACTGAGTTGAAATAATAAGATATATTAAGTGTATAAATTTTTTAAAGGTAAGATTATGTAGCAATCACCTAAATTTTTCCAGTAGGACTTGAAGATTCTTTTTTAGAAATGATTGTTGGGCCTAGCGAAGACAGACGAAGACACAGCTGTGTAGTGTTTTGAGGGGGCTTGGAAGAGCAACGGTTTTCTGAGTGCCTCTCATGAGGGATTCCCTTGCGGGGAGAACTGTGTAGTGGTTCTCATCTGGGCGCGGTGTGCAGCGCCTCTGCTTCCTGATCTTGGGAATGGTTCCCACTCACGGGAGTATGTCCCCCAAGCCTCCTTCTGAGCTGTGTTCGGCCCTGCTCTGGACACCTGGGCCTCCTCTCATCTCACTTACATCTGCTTTGTTTGCAGAGATCTCGGCTCACCAGATTTCACAGCCTGAAGTCAGTCGTCTGCAAGGCCTGCATGAAGGAGAACAGGCGTATCGTGGGCCAATCGCACTGGGGCCACACAGGTGGGAACAGGGCAGGTGCTTGAACAGGGAGGTCCTGGGGTCCCATGGACATAGGCCCTGACTGCTTCCTGCATTTTGTCAGTAAAAGAATTCCATGAGCCGGGCTCGGTGGCTCAGCCTGTAATCCCAGCACTTTGGGAGGCTGAGGTGAATGAATTGCCTGAGCCCACGGGTTTGAGACCTGCCTGGGCAACTTGGCAAGACCTCATCTCTACAATAAATCAAAAATTAGCTGGGCGTGGTAGCGCGCACCTGTAGTTCCAGCTACTTGGAAGGCTGAGGCGGAAGGATCGCTGGAGCCCAGCGGGTCGAGGCTGCGGTGGCCAGGAGCGGCCACTGTACTCCAGTCTGGATGACACAGTGAGACTCCAACTCAAATAAAAAAAAAAGAATTCCATGAAGAGGCTAATGTAATTGAAACAAAACAAAAAATTAAAGTGATAGGTCTCTACCTGGTGGTTTCAGTTCAGGTTCCTTTAGGAAGCACATCTTCAAGGAGGATTCCTTGTTAGTTAAATGATTAAGAGCTCTCCCTCTGGTGATTAACCTCCTTTACTAGGATTTCCAAAGTGAAGAGGCTTCTTGGGTAATGTTTGTTGATTTGACAAGAGTTCTGGTTTATTTTTTCTTATGATAAAAGTATGTTACAAAAATTTAGAGTACAAAGAAAATAATTAAAAAGGAAATATAAGCAACCTTTAATTCTGTTACTTAAAGATAACAAGCATTGGAAGGTTGTGTGCTTTTGTAGTATTTTTCTGCACTTTTGTCTCACTATGACTTAGGCCTTAGGCAGTTGTCTGCCTGCTTCTCCACTTAGCACTTAGCCTGGGGTGTGACTGTACTTGTACTTGTGTTCATAAGACACCTCTTAAACAGTAACTACATCTCCTACCGCTAGATGTTCACATGTGCTCAGCTCTCCCCTGTTTTGAGTTCTGGGAATGTTTCCATTTTTTTCTTGCTATGCATTATGCTTTTGTGTGTGTCATTTCCTTAAAGTAGAGTATGACTGTTTGCATAATTATAGATCAAAACATAATCAATTTCAGAGAAATGATCCCTTAATATCTTCTCCAGTAGTGAGCAGGAATTTCTGTTTCATGGCAGCCTGGATAGCATTTAAAAGTCTGTTGCTGTTTTTTTTAAATGAATTTGACAGATGAAGTGTGTATCTCATTTGATGCTGCTTGGTTTACCAGTGAAGTTGAGCATCTTACTTATTAGCTTATTTTGTTAATGAGATTATATTAATTATTTTTCATGTCTTTCTTTGGTTAGTGTCTATACCTATAACTATAGCAGCCCCCAACTTTTTCTTGATGGAATAAGAGAGAACTCAACCCAAATTCTTCATACCTAGACTGTTTTCAGGAGATAAGCACATGTATGATACCATCTGTGTGAGATGAGCACACGTGTGTTTTTTCTGACCAAACACAGTGGGCGCCTTACCAGCACTTAGACAGGTAGCTCAGAGACAAAGGCTGACACTGCAACAGGAACATCAGCAGGATCTTGGAAGACTTCTAATAGTTAGATTTGAGTAAATGGGAAAAATCAGGATGGTGAGTGGACCCTTGAGACCCAGGAACTGTTGAGAGCCAGGCGAGAGTCTTGACTTGTTTATCTGCTGCACACTGGGAGTCTTCAGAAGCAAGGTGATCAGAAATATTTTGGTCAGGGGCCATGCCTAGGCTCCCAACAAGGGCGGTCAGTCCTGAGGGTGACCTGGGTAGCGTGTGCCACATATTTTAAAACCACATGAATTTAAAAAATTAAATAATTACAATAAAATAAAACCACATGAGTTTGTACTAATCAGCCCTTCTAGTAGAGACAAACAGTCCAAATCATCAGGGAACTTGTGAAAATTTTAAAATGCAGAAAGTGTGTGTGAATGAAGTTTGTGGAGAGTTGAGAGGAGCAGACTCCTGGGTTTGGCTCATGACATCCCAGGGATGTGGCTTAAGGAAGAGTGCCCTTGCCCTGACTGTCCGTGCCCCGCCCAGCCCTGAAAGAATGGGATGGTCGTAGGGACGCATACGGCCATGGAGCCATGTGGGCCAGCCCAGGGGCCTGGGGTGACCCGCCCCTCTGTCCCAGAGAAGAGAGTGGAGAGACTGCTGGACACTTCACGAGACATCCTGTTCTGGGTCCTCTCAGCAGTGTCAGACCCTCCTGGGGACGGTGTCAAATGCAGCTCCGGGACTCCTGCTCCAGAGCCAGCGTCTGTGGGGCTGCAGCTCTTAGGCTTGTGTTTTCCATGAGCTCCCTGTGAGTTTAAGGATGTAGAAAATGGGGGCCACCTCACCACACTCTTACATATGGTGTCAGGACAAGACCTGAGAACTTGCTAATACTTTTATCATGTGTTCCCATAGGGCGGTGGGGGAGGCCAAGCTCTGGCTCCCACAGGTCGGGCTCTGGGTACAGCCGTTCTGCACAAGGACAGCCGTGGAGAGACCAGGGATCAGGTAAGAGGCCACAGCCCTCTGTGCACAGCACTGCCTTTCACATTGTATTTTTGCTGAAAACAGCCTTCTTCTATTTCAGAATCAGGTTGTAGATTTGCAAGTAGATAAGCAGTTAAATGTACTGGTAGGGCTCCTTTTCATTTAGTGAAGGAGAGACAAATGATTTCCGTGCTTGAAGCTAGCTGTATCTGCTCCTTGCCACTTTATTTTCTGTCTGTTCATTTATCTTTTCAAGACCCAGTTTCTGTAATTTACTCAATGAAAGACGCTATGTGTAAAGTTTACATATAGAAAGTCAACCCGTATCATGGAAAAAAACACGAGTTGTAGCATCTTTCCAGTAGTTGCATTTCTGAATCTTCTGCAGCTTGGATCATAGATGTGAGGGCTTACTCGTGATGTAAGGAATAAGCTCAACCCTCAGCATCTTACATCTGTGATACCCACAGATGTTTCAACTCATGCATTATGCTGAACTTAGTCCATAACATAGAGAACCTCACCCCAGGGTTTATACTCAAATGCCTTCCAGTTTTGAGAGCCAAACTTTGTCGACTTTGAAATCACCTACGATTTATAATTTTATCCTTTCAAATACACATGTATTTTTAATTTATGATATATGTTACTTTTGCAACCTTTAAAATGTGTAGAGACTTCAAAAGTTGCTCAAATTTTGACCCAAACACAGCAAGTCTTTGGCATTAGTGCAGCTGGCATTTGGGGCTGTGATGTTTCTGGTGGGAGCTTGTATGGAGGTTGAGTACCCAGTCCTTTCCTCTGGGATTCTGTAAGTAATAGAAGTTGGGAATCCACTGTATTGTTCAGGGTAGACCAAAGTTTATAATGAATATTTTTGAAATGCCCATTCCTGGGAGAGATAGAAGCTGTGTACATTCAGGTTTACATCTGCTGGCAGCGTGTTCTTGACCTGGCCTAACCTGCAGAAACTGCCCAGCCCGATGGCCTTGCTGAATGTGTTTAATCCATCTAGGACTGTGTAGTGTAACGGTCACTTCACAGCACTACCAGCCACATTGCCTGAGGATTTATGCTGGTGCAGCGTAACGAGATGCATGGTTGCAAGTGTATTTGCGATTGCTTTTAGTTCAGAAGGTTCTGCTGTTTATTGTACTAAATAACAAACAGGAAATCCAGAGACCGTGGCAGGGATTGGAAACTTCCCTAGAATCAAGGTGAAGCCTGTGCTGCAGGGCCATCGCTGCCACCCTGTGTGAGCATGGCCTCCTGTGTGAGGTCCCCCATAGCCCCTGGTGTTCACACTCAGGTCTCCATGCTGGCTGAGAACCTGCTCTCATGTCAGTCCCAGAGGACACATGTAGAGAACATAACTCCTACCCCGGGTCCTCACTGGACTCAGCCCTGACCTGTGGGATTTGTCTGCCTCTGTCTGGCAGCACAAGCCCTGGGCTACATGGGAAGAATGCAGGAATTGGGCTTTTGCTTCTATGATGATGACAGGCCTTCTCAAGTGAACCGGATGAGGGACTTCCAAAAGAAAGAAGAGTGTGGATGGGTGCATTTAGGCCAAGGAGCTTCCACTCCCCTGCCTGGCTCATGGTCTCTCCAACACAATGGTACTTAAGGGTAGACCTGATGGGAGGGCAGGAGCTGCTGCCAGATACCTACAGGTGGACAGCCAGGCAGAGGTCAGGTGGGCAGACTCCGAGGGTCTAGCCCTTATACAGGCTCTGGGTTGACTCTGCCTGAGACACTTGACCGTGTGATGGCAGTGGAGGTGGTAGGATGTAGACTCTGCCTGTTACCCCCCTGACCATGTGTCACATGAAGCTGCCAATGGCCCATGACTGAGCTTGGGTGCTGCCGGGCATGTTGGTGTTGACAGTAGGGGTGAAATCGCAGGTGAAGCAGTGCCTGGCCCTGTCCGTCCACACCTCGCCTAGCAGTATGAGCAGCATGGCTCTCAGCACCAGACCGCCCTGATGAAGTGAAAGGCACTGGCCCGTCCTGAGGAGGAAGGCGAGCTGAGTTGAGCAGGCTGCCTGACCAAGCAGGCTGGTGTCTCCCTTTTCAGCCCCACACAGGCATTCGTTTACACTCAGCCACATTTGAGAAGATGGAACCTCCTCGTACCATCTTAGGCTTGGGGTTGCCGTCTTCCTCCCCCTAGTCTCAGGAAGATGGGGAGGAGGCATGCAAGAGAATCCAAAACCCGGGTGGTGACATGTGGAGATGCGTGAGCTCTGCAGAGGGGCTGGTGTGTTGCCTGTCATCAGGACGCCACTGACTGGACGCATCACAGCAGACCACTCACTCAGCCCTTCCCGTCAGCCATCTAGCCACAGTCTAGCTCTGGGATTCTGGGGTTGTTTGATCTGTTTTTCTCATGTTGGGTGAGAGATTAATGAATAGTAACATTGAAGTTTAAGAGAAATAGAACTGTGTTATTTATGGAAGCACCATCAAGACCGTGGCCAGCCTGCCCTGGTCTTAGCACCTGTCTGGCAATCAAGTCTGAAGCCTCTTAGGGTGGTAAGAGTTACAGACTTGCTTTGTTTCTTTCATTTCCTCCTGCTGCAGTAGCTTCAGAAAGGCAGGCTTTGTCTCAAGTCCTGCTTCCTCCAGTGACCTGGTCTAGGCAGACGACTGAGCCTCTGGGCCCATCCCTGGCCTTGGAGTTGGTACCCGTCCTGCAGGCCCAGCCTCCACAGAGCCAGCACTCAGAGAGATCATCGCCACATCTTAGCCTTTTCCAGGACGTCTCACTTGCTGTCCTGGCTTTAATTCTGCTGTTTTTCTTAATATTCATGTTGGGCTTTCTTTTTCTAAAGAGGTTTTCTGTGAAAAAGAAAACAATGTCAATTGTACCTTAGTACAGCTTTTTTTGGAAAAAATGAAGCAAGCAAACACACCAAAGCTGGGTGGTGGCCTGCAGGAGTGCAACTCTGCATCTCCCTTGGGCCTCCAGGCCATCAGGCTGAGGGCCGGGAGGGAGGCCAGCTCTTGTCCTGAGTGTGTAGGCAGAGATCCCAGGGGCATGTTTAAATTAGACATGGAGAATCACTCTTCCTTGGATTGATAGAAAGCAGAAAGAGTTAGATTTCTTCACATTCTGTTAGCAGAGAAGAGAAGATTACACATATCCAGAAATGTCTCCTTCTCATGCAAATTAAAGCAGTTGAGTGACTTTCCTTGGGGCACAGTAGCGGGTATTTACCATCAGCCCTGGTGTGTGGGTCCACAGCAGATCCCTCAGGTTGTGCAGTGACCCGTGTCCCCCGAGTCACTGCTGGTCCTGCTGGTCCTGCTGGTGTGTTGACTGTCCTGGGCAGGCCAAGGTGAGGCTGAGAGAGCCCGAGATGGAATGTGCAAGTGGATGGCCAGAACGCATTAGATGGCATTAGATGGAGATGGCAGGACACCGGGGGCTGGCAGGAGATAGATGGGGCAGCAGTCGCCAGGACTGTGCCAGAGAGGAAGGCAGTGGAGCAGCCAGCAGGTTCTGAGAGGCGAGAGGGCCAGGATCAGGGATGGAGGGACCGAGGGAAAGTGAGGGCATATGAAGGAACCAGCAGGTACTCAGAGCAGCAGCATTGCTTTCTTCTTACTCCTTTCTGCTTGAAACTATAGCTACCAATAGGACACAAGTTGAGCATCCCAAGTCCAAAATCCAAAAGGCTACAAAATTTGGAACTTTGTGCACTGATAGGACACTCAAACGAAATGTTCCTTAGAACTTTCTGAATTGCAGCTTTTCTGTTAGGGATACTGAACCTGTAAGTATAAAGAAAATATCCCAAATCCAAAAAAGGTCAAATCCAAAGCACTTGTGTCCCATGTATTTCAGATAAGGGATGCTCAGCCTGTGGTAAAGAACCCAGGGTGGCATCTGTGGCCCGTAGGCCTAAGCGTGTTGGAGCATGTCCCCAGCTCACTACTCGTGAGTGACCATGGCGGAGAGCCCCCTTGGGGAAGCGCTTGGCTCTCTGCCCCCTCGGGACTCAGCCCCCCGAGCCCTGGACTCTGTGTCCACACTGCACACCCCACTTTCCAATGCCCTGCACCCACTGCCATGCATTGTGCGCACAGCCCAGGAGCAGACCTGAGGAAACAAGTCCACAGACGAGACCGATGGCCCTGGGCTCAGTCCACCTCTTTAGATTCCAGAGCGTTCTGAGTATCCCTGAGTGTCTTCATTGCCACAAGGTCTAAAGCACCTCACATTGAACTCAGCGTACTTGCCAAGCTCTTCCTGACGCACCCTGTGTTTTCCTTTTTTAAAAAATATATATCTTATTTTGAAGATGTAGGACATAAGTCAGTATTAGGTACATGAATGATCTACTTACATGTGAAGTTTGGGCCTTCCATTGGTCCTTACTTTGCCTGGGTTAGGACCATGTTTTGCTTTCAAGTCCATACGTCCATCTATAACTGCTACCTAATGCACATTTCATTTCCAGTGACACATTTCTTTAGAACACCATTGACATACACAAAAAGCCAAGTAGTCAAAATGAATGTGCAGTTCATCCTGACCCAAACAGGAGCACTGAGGTGTGCAGAGTCGTGGCAGAAAGGCAGGTGCAGTGCCGTGACCATCCAGTCAATGGATGTGCACGATGGGACTCCTCGTTACCAAGGACTTACCGTGAGAGTGGCTCTCTCCAGGACCTGGATACAGGTCATGTAGTGTGACCTCCAAGTGTAGGGTCTCCTTCTTGCTCCCCACAGGAGCACTTTGAGTTCTAGGAAATACTTGGAATGTTTGCCAAGGAGTGTTTGCCATACTGGGAGCACCGCCTGCAGGAGCTTGTTTTACCTCTACTGTTCTGGTCACTGAGAAGCAATAAAACTGTAATGACCTCAACAGCTAGGCCTAAAACCACTTAAAGACTGTGCCTGTTTTATAAATAGGTCTTTGAGGAAGCCATCTACTTTATTGGGTTGTATCAGAACAATAACATGAAAATCAAAGAATGACAGTTCCTGTGAGTATTTGGAGCCAGAAAATAGCTCTAGGAGACTGAGATTAAGGGCAGAATTTAAATGTTAAGTGCTGAATTCGTAGCAGATTTAAGGGTTTAGGAATGAGAGTGGGAAATTAAAAGACTCTTGCAAACAGCACACATGCAAGGATAGTGTATCTCTTTTGCATTTTGCCTTCCATGGAGTAATGTTCACAAAAATGATATTGGTGGTACAAGGGTGTTTCTATTTCCAGATATTTCAGTATAAAATACATGTTATACATACACACGGACAGAGTCCGGAATATATTTTCTCAGACCAGGCAGTCGACTTTTTAGTTTTTATCACCGTGATTGAATTTGGGGCAGCACGGTGTCTGCTGGGCTTTGCCCGCCTTGTCCTTCTGTTTTGTTATTTCTTGGAGATAATAAGGTAGTTCAAGTAGAAAGTTGTCAGTATCTCCAGGACAGGTTCAATAGGTAAACTTCCTTGTATTAATGAGATGACTAAAAAATGCCCCAAAGTTGTCAGCTCTCTGGAGCCTGAGCCTGGCCTGACCCTGTGAGCAGGTGGGGAGCCAGAGCAGCTGTGAGCCAGTGGTCAGCTTCAAAGCCCAGAACTTAGCTCAGCTACCCCAGAACAAAGGCTCCCAGTGAGGCATTTTAACCTCATCCTTGCTGGTGCTCAGCACTGATGGTGAGAAATGAGGTGTTAAATTCCACAGCCAGTAGTTACCAATTTGCCTGGGATTTCTTCAGAGGGTCACTTGGCAATTCTGCGGGAGACTTGAGGGCAATAAACCACATCTGGTGTCTGTGATACTAGGGTGGGGCTGAGATAACAAGGATCTGGAGGCCCATGGCAATCTCTGAACCTCACTTTGGCTGTTACCTTCTCCTGTCACACCTTCTGCCAGAGCCCAGAGCCCTCATACTTCCTGGGCATGAGAGACCCAAGGCCGCAGCGGGAGAAGGCCAGAGGAGAGACGCAGAGGGCATCAGTCCCTGCACAGGACAGGTGCCTGCTTCCATCTGCCATAATAAAGCTGAGGGCAGGGAAAATGGGAAGAAAAGTGTCATTTAAAAAATGTGCACAACCACTCCCCTTTTACTCCCTGCTCCCAGTCTATCAGAAAGGCAGAAAGTGGCCAGTGTGCCATGGGCGAGGAGGAGGCTCTGTGCCGCGCTGCAGACAGAGCAGCCACATGTGGGCTTCCTGCACTTGGCGCCATGTACAGAGTGAGCCATCTGCATATGGATTTGCATTTCCAAAAGTCATTAGCAAGAATACACATCTAGGAATCACGCAGATGGCTGGAGCTGGTGTTAAGAGGAACAATTTTGACATTGTTTCCTTCCCAACCTCTTAATTAATTGTTTCCACTTTAATGGAATAATTATAGAACAAAATTTTAGTGACACGTGGCCACAACTCAAAAGAGGATAAAGTTCAGTCCTCCAAATACAGCTCAGCATGCTATTTTTATACATACTTAGAAATGTACAGGGGTTTTGTTTGCATATTAAAGAGATTTAATTCATTGTGTGTTTTCCTGTCGATTTGTTGCAGGAAACAGACAATATGAGCATGACCAGTGGAGAAGATACTAGTCATCCTCCAGGTAAGTTCATCCCCTGCATCTTCAGAAGAAATCAGGAAAATGTCTGTCTTCATGACCTGAATCTTTCCTATCAGGTTCTTAAATAGAACTCAGATGTGGAATCCTGCTGCCCTGGTACCAAGTTAATTTGATTTCAAGACACCTTTGCTTCCTCCAGAGACAGTGTGGAGGGAAGAGATGCCTATGTGGGCCTGGCACCCTCCTCTAGAGCCTCATTCTCGTCCTAGGAGGAGAGCCTGCTTGAGGGCTCCAGACCTCTTCACAACCCTCCCTCCTGTCTGCAGAAAGACTTTGTTGGCGCTCTCTCTGATTCCACAGCCCAGAACAATCCCTGTTAACATTTCTTGTATTTCACCCCCATCTTTTCACTCATGGTAGGAGGCATCGTTTATTTCTTTGTTTAATAAATTGGAATATTGCTGCATCCTGCCTTTTTTTCCCTAAGCATTAGAATGTGAGGCGTTTTCTTATATCATTCAGTAGTCTTTGGAAACGTGGTGTCTGAATAGCTGTATAGTCACCCTACATTCCAAGACCTCAGTGGATGCCTGAAACCATAGATCACACTAGGTGTACAATGTTTCTTCCTCTACCTACATGCACAGCTCTGATAAAGTTTAATTTATAAACTAGGCACAGCAAGAGATTAACAACTATAATAATAAAGTAGAACAATTATAATAATACACTGTAATAAAAAGATATGTGAATCTGGTCTCTTTCTCTCAGAACATCTCATTGTACCATAATCATCCTTTTTAAAATCTGTTGGCCCAATTGCTGAGAAGGCTCCTAAGGAATTCACAGCTGGACACCACAGCGTGGCGGTGTGAAGCTTCATCCACCGCTCCAAGTGGCACACAATCTGAAACTCAGCAATTGCTTGTTTCTGGGATTTTCCATTTGATATCTTGAACCTCAGCTGACCGTGATAGCTGAACCATAGACAATGAAGTGAGGACAAGGAGGGACTGCTGTGTAACACTTCAGGACTGTTTTCTAATTAATTCTTATCACAGGAGCATGTCCACTAGCTCTTCTCTTGGTTCTCAGAAGTGTTTGAACAAGATGAAAAGTAACATCTAATTTATCTTTTTCCCTGTGGAAGAGTTCGTGGGGGCATGGCACAGGGTGGGAGTCCCAGTCCTGTCCCTGTCCCATCACCTTCTTCACTTGGCTGCTCCAACTCTGGATTCTCACAGTGATGCTTGTGAAGAGGTGCAGACAGGAGCCCTGGGAAGCACATGTCAAGAGAAGGCGACAGTTGAGCTGTCGGAAGCCTAATTTATGATGCCGCTTGTGAATGCTACATTTGTTCCTCTTCATCTGTGAGCATTGAGGGACTTTTGTTTTTAGAAACCATGTTAAATGAATCCACATTCAGAGTAATTCTTTCTGTGGGAAAATTTTCAGATAATCCAAAATAGAAATTTTAAGCCCAAAACTCTAGTGAGCTGACCCTTTGGGGACAGGAATGGCCAGGGTATTGATAATGGAAAGGATTCTAGGTTAGAAGACAGGCCTGCCACTAGGCACTGTCTAAACCCTGGAACTCGCCCTTGGCTCTGCCTGAGATGTGAGAGCTGGTGGTGGCTGCCTGAGTCCCTTCTGGGCCACACTGTGACTCTGGAGATAACGGGAGTAGTCTGAAGAAATGCTTACTTCTGTGAGCAGAGACATATCCTTCTGGTGAGTGTTGTCTTTAAAAACAAAATAAGCAGCCGGGCTTGGTGGCTCAGCCTGTAATCCCACGCCTTTGGGAGGCTGAGGTGAGTGGATTGCCTGAGTCTGCGGATTCGAGACCCGACTGGGCAGCAAGACCTCATCTCTACAATAAATCAAAAAATCAGCCAGGCGTGGTGCGCATGCCTGTAGTTCCGGCTACTTGGAAGGCTGAAGCGGAAGGATCGCCAGAGCCCAGGAGGTCGAGGCTGCGGTAGCCGGGAGCGGCCACTGCACTCCAGTCTGGGTGACAGAGTGAGACTCCAACTCAGAAATAATAATAATAGTAATAAACCCCTAAACACAAACCAGTTGATACATTTCCTTGCTTGTAGTTTAAAATCCTGTCTAGTGTTTACCAAAAAGAGACACAGTTTTCAGATATTTTAATGCATTTTTTGGTCTGTTTTTTGTTTTTTGAAGATAGTCTTTCACTCTGTCACCCAGGCTGGAGTGCACTGGCATGATCACAGCTCACCACAGCCTTGACCTCCTTCCTTAACCTCCCAAGCTGGGACTACAGGCAAGCACCACCACGCTCAGCTAATTTTTTTAGTTTTGTGTAAAGACAAGATCTCGCTATGTTGCCTGGGCTGGTCTTGAACTCCTGACCTCAAGCAATCCTCACACTCAGCCTCCCTAAGAGCTGGGATTGTAGGTATAAACCGCCATGCCCTACCACATTTGTTTTTCTTAAGTTTGAAATACACTAACCATATCCTTCAGTTCCTTCCTAAGAACGTTTGAGTATCTAATTATTTTTCATGCAAATCTTTTAGGACCCACAACCTTTTTTCCTGGCTTTGGAAATAGATTTTCTTCATTCCACTTAGAAGTATTTTCTCTCTAAATATTAACTTTCTACTTTTCATGTTTGCTCGTCTGAAACCTCTGCTATTTCCAGAAGATCTATTTGTTTACTACTTATTGGTATAACTTTGAAATAAAGTCTTCATCCCTTAGACTAAGAGAGTAGACTTCTGTGAAAATTGTTTTCCCCCTTTATAATATCTAAATTCTTGTTTGTCAATAAAATATTTGTGTTCAGTTAACAAACTTTTAAGTAAGCCATTGAGTTGGTATAATCTTTATTACATATGAAAAGCCAGAGCACTGACTATTTTGTAACCCTAATACTGTTATGTAAGTTATCTCTGTAGTCAAGCCTTCTGATAAGATTTCCATGTATGAATTTAAGATGAAAATAAAGCAAAATATATGTATTACTCGTAGTGTATTGGAATTTGTGTGAATGCCATCAAAAAAGAAAAAAGGACGACTAGGACGCACGGGGTCTTTGATTGTAGACGTAGAAAACAGTAGTGCCTCCACAGCAGGCCAGTCCACAGTGAGACCATACGCTTCACTTCCCAGCTGTCTCTAGTCTGTGAAAAAGTGTTTTTATGGTCAGAAAAGAAATGAATTTGCACAGATACAGAAATTTCTTCCTCATGCAATGTGCTATTAGCTATTAGCCTGAACTCTTGATTGGCCACTTGTATATAGGAGTGGACCCAACCTTTTTGGCATCAGGGACTGGCTTCATGGAAGACAATTTTTCCATGGACCAGGGAGTGGGAGGGTGGGTTTCAGGATGATTCAAGCATGTTACATTTATGTGCACCTTATTTCTGTTATTATATTGTAATATATAATGAAATAATAATGCAACTCACCATCATGCAGAATCATTGAGAGCCCGAGTTTGTTTTCCTGCAACTAGACGGTCCCATCTGGGGGTAATGGAGACAGTGAAACCCAAAGTATGTTGCTTATGTCCAGTGTAGTCTGGAATCGTTTTGGCTGCTGTCACTGCAGAAAATCCTGCTTCACAAAGAGAGGATGCTGGAAATGGAAGCAGGCTTTTCAGTGCTTTTGTGGCAAAATCAGGATTTTTCACCTTGACTTAAATCCAGAATATATGGAGATTTGAAGTTGTCTCAAACATACTTTTTAGGCCTCTGTCATTTGCAGTCCCAAGCAGTTGGTCCTCTCCTAGCACAAAGTTGATTCACCTGGCTTATTGACAAATGTGTCATGGATCCATTCCTTTCCAGTTCAGGGGTCTTTTGTGGTTAGGAAGTAATGCTCAAACTCTTGGAAGCTGAAATAGGTGATCATGCACCAGCTAGGAGAAAGAAGGACCTGGCTCAGTCTCTTTCAAACTCTCTGCTACTGTTTGAAACATGTCAAAATCCAATGTTCACTTGTCACTCCCATAATTGAGCCACTTTATCTGCTGACTTGAACACAGTTGTCATTCTCCCTGAAGTGATAGATTGAATTCATTGAGAAGGTTGAACATGTCACAGAAGTAAGCAAGTTTTGCAGCCCATTCTGTGTCACACAAATGTGCTGCCAGTGGTGACTGTTTTTCTAAAAGAAATCTCTGGAGTGGCTCTTGAAACTCAAAAATTCTGGCCAGTGGTTTGCCTTTAGGAAGCCATCTCACTTCTGTGTATAAGAGAAGACATGTGTGCTCTGTGTCCATCTCACAGAACTTCATGAACAGACATGAGTTAAGGGCATGCACTTTAACATGGTTGATCATTTTAATCATGTCATACAAAACGTTAAGTCCAGGTGACATTTTCTGGCTAGCCAGCATTTCTCTATAATTGACACAGTGCGTGGACTCACATTCAGAAGCAACCTCTTTGACCCGAGTAGTGTAACCAGAAAGGCATCCAGTCGTGACAACCGTTCCATCCATGCATACACTAACACAAAATAACCAGTTCAGTTTTCCTGATATGTGATCATTCAAAGATGAATTGAGTTCTGTAGCTGTGGTATTGGTTGGCAACAAAAGTGCACATAACATATCCTCATGCACACCCTCCTGAAAAATATATCACTCAAAAACAAGCATCGCCTGTTCTCAACATCAGTAGACTGTCAACCTAGATTGCATACCATGACTCATTAATTGTAACAGTTGTGCCCCGATGTCCTCTGCTTTTTCATCAGTTTGTCTACTTATGGTACTAGCCAAAAGAGGATAACATGCCACCTTTTGACCTGCAGCCTCTACTAAAAGTTCATGACAAATGTCCTTAGCAGCAGGCAGGGTCAACTCTTCACCAATAGCAAAGGGCTTCTTATTAGCAATGCAGTTAGTCACTAAGAATGATGCTCTTAGTACAGACACATTTGATGAAGTGATGGCTTCTGTTCTTCATATTCACCTTTTTTTTTTCTTTGGAAAAACCCCAGAGGCTTGTCTTTTAATGCAGGGTACTTGGTCTCCATGTGGTGAAGTAGTTTTGAAGATTTCATGGCTTCGTTGGATTATCCATTTCATGGATAGCTGGTTACCACATATTATACAAAGCAGGCTTGGAGAATGTGAATCACCTGTTGCAATGAACCCATAATTTAAGTAGGACTCTTGGTATTTTATTTTAAATGCAACTTTCTTTTTGCTGGCAGTCTTAGAGTCTTCTGCTGACTCATCATTGGATATTTCCCCCTTTTCAAAGAAGTTCCCCAGTTATGTTTATTGTTTTACTAATTTGGGCTAGGGTTAGCTTGTGTGCCTCCCAAAACTGTGACTGAGACAAGTTCGCCGTGTGGGAAAGAGGCATGAATTGAAGTGATAAATAAAATAATGGGCAGACCACTCGTGAACTAAAAATAATTGTCAGATTCTGACTAAAAGCCTGCCACCACATGCAACTGTACAATTGAAATACATCAACTCACTTGTCACTCACTGATAGGGTTTTGATATGAGTTTGCAAAGAATTGATTTATGATGGCCTCTGTGTAGTCAAATCTCACTGCTAATGTTAGTGTTTATTTGCGGCCACTCCACAATGCCTCACCGCCTCGGCTCCACCTCAGATCATCAGGCATTAAATTTTCATAAGGAGCATACAAACTAGATCCCTCAAATGCGCAGTTCCCAATAGGGTTTGCACTCCTATGAGTATCTGATGCCACTGCTGATCTGACAGAAGACGGAGCTCAGGTGGTCATGTGAGCAGTGGGTAGCAGCTGTAAATACAAATGAAGCCTCACTCACTCACCGCTCATTTGCTGTGTGACCCAGTTTTTAACAAGTCACAGACCAGTATCAGTCCATGGCCCAGGAGTTGGGGACCTTTGTTATGTAGGATTTGAACTGTGTATGCAAACTGATGTAATGAGAATTGCTGGTTCAAAACACATATATATTTAAAATGTGGGCTGATGCTATCAAACTCCTATGTAGAGTGGTGGCACCTCTCACCCCCATCACTGGCCACTTCCCATTGTGGGTGAGGGGTGCAGCACACCCCACCTCTCCCTGCTGAGACCTTCAGTTTTCTTAATTTTTTCCCAGCTGTTCCCAAAAAGGGTATATTATTAACTTAGTTTACATTTCTCTAAATATTGGGGTTTTTTTTTAAAACTGTGCCTTTATAGGCCATTTGAATTTTTTCTGTGAACTGCTTATTCACGTCCTTGGCCAGATTTTTCTTGGGTAATTTTATGTTGACTTGTAGCACTCCACATATCATAGGTATTAAACCTTTCTTTCTTTCTTTCTTTCTTTTTTTTTTTAATTTTGTAGAGATAGGATCTCACTATGTTTCCTAGGCTGGTCTTGAACTCCTGGTCTCAAGTGATCCTCCCACCTCAGCCTCTCAAAGTGCTGGGATTGCAGGAATAAGCCACCATACCTGGCCTAAATATAGCCACCACACCTGATCATATATTTGACAAATTTTCTCTTTCATTTTTCATGGCTTCCTAATGAGGGAATTGCCACTCACCTAGAGGCTTGGGTATCACCCTAATCTCTCCATCTCCCTGAGACCCGACATCTACTCAGGAAGGGCAAGTCTGCTCCAGACACTTCCTGCTGCCACTGTGGCCCATGCCCCTGTGGTCTCCCTCTTGCAGACTTGTGAAACTCCATGTAAACCCACTTCTACAGCCTTCCCTTCCTCTTGCTCTGACAGAAGTGAGAATTTCCCCATACCTTGGTGCATGGCCAGTGCCCTTCACACTCATGTCCTACCTTCAGTCTCTTGTGGCTCCCCCAGCG